TAACAAATTCCATAGACTCAGCGTCGGATATGAAGGTCAGACCTAGGTCAAAACGGAACCGCTTTTTTACTGGAGAGTTGTTTTATGAGGTAGTGCCTCTGATGCTCATTTATCATTCCTTGATAGTAGTGACCGCATCTTCTATTGACTTTTTAAAAAATCGGAATAGGACACTGACCTGAAATGACCTGGATCGAACATTTGTTTGTAGAAAACCACCTCCTACCTCAATCTTAATGCTTACGCAAGCTAGAAAATCAAGACGTTTGGGACTGTTTTTGCTCACCATTTCCTTTTAGAGGTCGAATAAGGCCGCTGACGTAAAATTAACACCAGTGACCGTTTGCTGCTTAGAGAAGGTGCCTATGTTTGAGGCGGTTGCATGAGGTCTGAAACACTTCGGACACCAAAATTGAGTTTGCACCTTGTTTGACGTAATTTGATCCAAAGATCAAGACCTACGATCCTCAAATTGTGACGAGAGTGAGTTCATGTACAAAATAACCTGCAATGTGAATTTGGTGTGTCTGGCTTTCTTAGCTTTTTAGATCTCAGAAGGCTAAATTACCCCTTCTCCCATCCAAACGAAGGGTATTCAACCGGTCATCTGTACGCGTACTAGCAATGGCTAGTAAATTATTTATACAGAAACTTACAATCCGACTAAGAGGAAATGACATTCACCTCTAAGCATGCGCACTGACCGAAAAACTCAAACTTTCCCCCTGTGTCATGGATGATTATCCGTGGCTATAGGTCACTATTGCAATGAGTATAGATCGCACCATGATTAAGGCATAGACGATATTAAAGATGATAAACCTAACAGCTTAGCACTATTTGTCATGTCGGTTACGATGGGTGATATTTTTACAGTTGGCTGTCTTTTTGGACTTTGTTGAAGCAACTGATACCTGTTGTTACCGACGGACAGTTTTTACTGGTGTTACCGATAGTTTTCCCAAGCCTGTTGTTTTGGAATGATGCGGGAGTGACTAGCTATTGGGAAAGCTTGTTCTTGGCTCGCGCAATGCCAAACGTTTCTGCGGGTGCTAAAGTTGGTGCAGGACAATTAAAAAGAATATACAGGAAACCGAATAAAAAGGTGTAATCCGAATCCTTTACTCCCGTTTGCAATAAAATAGTTTATAGTGGAAACGCCTGTGGTACACAGGGCACTCACGTGTTATTGCCATCACGACTCTGCTTTACGCGTGCACGTGGCGGTGATAAGCTACACGAAGATTCCCTCAACTGGCGAAAATAAAAACGCAACGAATGAGACGTTGAACTTGTATTTCTGCCCTTCTCATCCAAAGGAGGGGCATTTCAGCTCTTCAAAACATACGCACATACGTAACCAAAACCAAATCAGCCAGGGAAGTTTTGAATTGCGCCGGGTGAAACGTGGATTTATCCAAGAAACAAATATTTCCCGAGGACATAAGAGAATCCCCGAATCGTCGGCACCCCCAACGGGCTTGCATCGTACAAGATAAGGTGCCGTCCAGCCCCTGCGCGCCCATTCTGTCCGAGCGTGCCATTGGCAGATGAATGTTCGAAACAATGTGTCTGACCCTCTGAGAGTGTCATTTGATTTAAAGGACAGTCCAACTTTGATTTTCCAGCGCGCGAGCGGCTGAAAAATGCGCATCAGCAAAACATGACACATCATAAACCGTACTCCCACAGCAGAAATAGGCATGTGGTACACTGAGGATTAAGACGCCGCGCACCCCGTGTGTAAAAGGCTGTGACATGCTCTACTCCACGCTTCTGATCCTTTTCAGCTTTCACGAGTGCTTCGGGTGTTCACTTTGTGCTATAATAGTCTTTCAAAGGCTTTTATACAGGTGGGATGGGAGCAGTGATGTGGCCAGAAGTTCGCATGGGTTCGCATTGTACGAGCCTGCAGCATAGTGAAATGGTGACCATAGCAATTACGTTTACCAGCGGCGAAAACCTTCATCTTTTTTAACACGCGCCATGGTGGCAGGTTGAATACCCTGCGCTCGGGTGGAGGTCAATTTGACCCCAACACTAAGAAACCTGGAGGCCCCAAATTCGCATGATGTGTTGACCTGTACGTGAACTCACTTGTGTCAGATCAGTTTCTTGGTCATGACCATCGGGTCGAATAAGGTCAAATAGCCTTATGCAGCCATATATGCACACATATATTTGAGACGCGTACTTTAAGACCCATATATATATATATATATATATATATATATATATATATATATATATATATATATGCATATATATATGCATATATATATATATATATATAATTTGTTTTCTAGCTGGCAAAGAAGAAACAAACCCGGCCTTACTCCTACTTGGAAAATGGGCCCTAATGGCCGAGAACGACAGGGGGCTAGCCATTCGGTGGTGATGACCGCAGGTCGACTTAGACGCCTGCATTGTCTCAGGGGTCAAGTGCAAGAGGTGCAAGAGGCCCCCTGGCTGATATTTCAGGTCATTACCCTACGGGCCGCGATTCTTCATGTGACCTACGAGCAATTCGGGCCATTATGTCTTCCAGCCGGGCCCTTGATCACTGGTTCCGATGGGCCGCCAGGGCCCCTCTCCTGGCCTCATTGAACACTGTCCTTAGTCGTCTCTGGACCTCTTGTGTACCCAGAGCCCCTTGTCAGGCACTGTGGACCCCTGACAGCTACAGGGGCCCCGACCAGTGTAACTTGTCGGCCCTGGTTTTGTAGCTGTTTGGGACGTGGACCCCCAGGCCCATACCGGCACTGCCCGACTGTGCGATACTAGTGGTGCAGGACCGACATATTGGTCCTTATCGACCAGTGTGTCCCCGATCGGCACAATGGGCTATGTCATTTGAGACCCGTCCCTGTGAACCCCGAATAAGACTCCAACCAGCCCTCCGTTCCCTTAGGTCCTCCAGTACGACCCTCGATCGTCAGTGCCGGTGGGCCCTCCAGGCTCTTCGGTCATCCTGTCCTCGAACCCTGCCCAGGGTGACTCGGAGCCTCCTGTCCAAACAGGGCCAATGTTAGGCGCCGTGAGGCCCTGTTAGACGCCGTGGCCCCGACCGATGTTCATCACTGCCTCCGCCTTTGTCTCAGCTTGGGAAATGGGCCCTCAGGCCCATGCCAAGACGAGGCCGGCTGTGCGTTACTGGTGAATGAATACGACCCCCGCCGGCCTTTCGGGCCCATCGGGACCTCCCATCGGTCCCTTGATCTGGATATGAGGGGCCCGAAAGGTCCCTCAGAGCCTAAAAGGCGACGCATGCCGGCTGTGCCCACGTGCATGCGGTACCACGCTAGGGCTTCGATGTCTTTGCAAATTGCACGCTCATCACATTTACATGTCTGCAGCGCGCTCTTCCGTTTTGAATTACTTGTAGTGATGGAAAACGTTACTGGTTTTCAACTAAAATGCATGCAAAATGAGCAACATAAAAGTATCAGATCACGTGATGATTTTAAAACATGCCTTGTGCTAAAAAAACGAAATTTACTTAGAACAGCTATCGTTTTCTGTAGCTTGCCACTTTTTAATGCTCGATCAACTCAATAAATTTCAAATCATTTGTTGCTCTATGCAGTAAAACTGCACGAAAGCTTTGACTGTTTGAAATATTTTTGACTAATTTTCATCATATCTGTGTAAAAATAATTACAAATCTTCCGGATCACAGTCAGTGTTCATTTATTGTGGTGACTGGTTTAGGTTTCATAATATTTTGTCGGAAAATCAGTTAAAAATTTCTTTGAAGCTACAGGCGAACGCTTTTGTTGTGCGTGGTGAATTGCCGCAGCCGCGGCCCCGGTGTGTCTGTATTTAACACCTTAGAATGAATGGTGCTTGAAAATCGCGCTGCTTTGTCGAGGAAGGTAATTGTTTGATATTTGACTGGGCTGAATGGGGTCTATACTGGTCATTTTTATGGTGGTGCTACTTTTATGTCTTGATTCGAACATGGCGCACAAAAGTATTGTCGTTCGTGCGTTGGCCGTGAGCGGTTATAGCATACCCAGTTTGCTTGCATTCCATTGAGCGGTCCTGTTGTGAAACAAATATTATTTGTTCGGTGTATGCCGCTCGAAATTTTTCAACTAAAGCTGTTGTGCCTTTGGTGAGGGTCTCTGATTGACATTATTCTGTACAACTTGGATTTGCCCAGATTTGCCTCAGTTTGGAGACCTGGTTTGGCTTCAGAAGTGCACCTTTTGATGTACTGGTGAAGGATGTGCTCACATAAAAATGATGTAACAGTTTGGTTGTGTTGGCTCAGTTTTTGTTCTTATTGCCTTTGATCTATTACTCACACATAGTGTCATTTGGATCTAGAAATTGGTGTTTGTCATTCCTTTGAAGTGGGTCTATGTCATGACTGATGCTCACCAGCCTATAAATCCATTACCTTCCATTGTCTAAGTTTGAACCAACATGTTAAGCCACTTCTGTTAGTTGGGTTTGATAGTGTTTGTTTTACTTTTTAAAAGACTGGATGAGGTCAGTCACCTAATGCAGTCATTTCCAGAACTTTTAAAAGCTGTCTGATTGCCCAACACTTCAAGAGAAGTTTATAGGATTATCTCTTATAGCATAAATGCAGGCTTGAAGGACAGCTCAGACAGTTATCCATGAAAAGATAAACTGGTGTGAGTTGTAGCTCAGGGCTCCAAACAATAAATATGTCATGATGGTTTGGGGCAACCAGTGGTGGCCTCTGCCAGGAAATATGCTTTGTTGCAAGTTGTAACATAATGCTGACTTGGATACAAATGACTTATCAATGTTATGCAAATGAATGGTATAGTTGCACACAAATGAAGGTTACAGAAATTTGGAGGTGTGTGATAGAAAATGTTGGTCAAATTGCCTTGACATAACAAAGGTGTGCAGGTGATAAAACAAATTATAGGAAGAAAAATATAGAAAGTACTATGTTCATGTCTAGGCCTTCTAAGAGAAATGTTATAGAATGATTGGGCTTTGCAGCTTTTAGCAAGCACAGTCTCTAATGGTTATATGCATTATTTGCCTTCATGAGGAGCTGTTGCATTCAGTGCACATCCTAGACAAAAAGTACAAATTTCCCTATTGATTTCATCTTCCAAGGGCTGGTCACTGTATGTGATCATGCTTCTTGCTATATTGACAATGACAGTTGCTAGTAAACTGTCATTGTCATTACAGCACTGCTGAAGAAATACCTCGTAATAGCTGTTTCATTTGCTGTAGTTTCAAGCATGCATAGTGACTGACTATGCTGGTGTCTAATAATGGCAGTTAGAAATTTTAAGATGTGCTGAGCTTGAAGCTCTGGATGTGGTCATTTGAAACAATTTATTATTGTTAGCATCAGTTTTTGTGGTCTGTGACCATGTTTAAAGACATGATACCAGTGGCAGTTATGTACAGCATTTGCTTGTTTATTCCATTTCTAGGAGCGCTGCATGACCTACAGCAGTCGATGTGCCCTAAAACCCCACCATTTCTAGGAGCATGGTGGGCAGCACTATTTTTAATCTAAAGTAATGTTCATTGTGATGTGTGACCCATTGCAGAAAATGGCACCTGTGCAATATAGTGTGACAAGCCATTTGAACAGCATGTTCTAAAGAATTTCTAGGAGCAAGAAATATTCACCATATCTTAGATGACTACAAAAAGTTGTACTAATAGTGACCTGCCATTCCCATGGAAACAGACCTAACGAATTGTCCATTGAGAAGTGTTTTTATTTGCAGAAAATCATTTTGGTTGGCTAGGAAAATGTCTTACATATTTTGAACACAATTTTTCCCAACCAAATGTAAATCATAATTCTTATCAACTTTTTAAGATTGAACTTGACGTCACAAGATATGATTGTTCAAGTCTCATTGAACATGATAGATAACTATTTGCAAGAGAAATTGTGGTTAGGCCCAATTGCCTTTGGGTGGCAGTCATGTCATGGTGGCAAAATTGTGATTTCTTTGTGTCTGTGAAAGGATCAACTGATACTTGCTCTTGCATCAGCAGACTGTGGCACACTGACACACCAAGACTTATCACTGCTGACTGGTTGGCAGACAGCCATAGTGGCTATTGCATCATATGTACAGTGGTTCTGATTTTAATTGGTGGTTGTCATGAGACCAAAGCATAGCACAACTGCATGTGTTATGGTTGCCATGCAATTTCTGGTGCTCAAGTTGTTGGGTCATCTTCAGGTGTTTTGTTTGGGGGCAGATGTCTGTCACACTTGTCATGAAGAGTTTAAAAGAATGTGAACATACATTGTTTTCTCCTTTGCTTAAGCCATGACCTGGTACCAAGCATGGCAAAATCTCAAATGGCTCTGTATGGACAGTTGATGCATCAGCTGCTAAACCCTTCACCAGCTCCCTGCTTTCTTCATCTGTAGCAGTGCAAGCAGAGCCAGCACTCACTATCTTGTGCCTTGGGTGGGATACAGGCTCTATTCAACAGCCCCTGTAAGCTGAAATGCAAAGCTATAACCTGGCTACAGTGGCAATTTGTATCCTTTGGTTTGCTGTGGGGCTGTTTACAGAAACACACTGCTTAGGGCCCTGATGAAAGGCATAGTTGTATGCCAACATATTTAACAACACACATGATTGAGGAAGGATACATTGGTAGCAGGAATTGAATGTAAGTCATCCAGAAGCATATCAGTCAAACTACAGTTTGTATTGCTGGGATCTATGTTATCCAATGGTATGGCCCATGCCAATGAAATGAGCACCACCAGCAGAGCAAAGGCTGGGAGATGAAAATATGTGAAAACAAAAACAAATGGAACAGAAACATGATACAAGGCTGGATGGTTTTGAAATATAATGCACATTTCAAATTGCCTAGAGCTTGCTTTCATTTGGGGTACTTCAGTGCCTGTTGTACAATGACACTGCTTCCAATGACCCATGACCTCCTGATTTTGTAAATTAGATGCTTTTGTGCCAGATTTAAAGAAAAAACCCAACCATTAATTACTGTCATGTTTAATTACAATGACTAGACATATGAATGCTTAGTCGCTGACACCCCAACTGGACAAGGTCAACCAGCTCCTGCAGAAGTGCCACACTAACATTCTGTGTCTGTATCTCAGACCTGGCTTAAGCCTTAAGTGTTCAACAGGTTGCTAATATTCCTGGGTTTCGGCTTCCTGCGGTATGACCGCGGTGTCGCCCGGCTGACACCAGCCCAGCAAAGCCAGCTGTGCGGAAGAGTTGCCCGGCTGACACCAGCCCAGCAAACCCAGCTGTGCGGAAGAGTTGCCCGGCTGACACCAGCCCAGCTAACCCAGCTGTGCTGAAGAGTTCCCCAGCTGACACCAGCCCAGCAAACCCAGCCGTGCGGAAGAGTTGCCAGGCTGACACCAGCCCAGCAGACCCAGCTGTGCAGAAGTCGCCCGGCTGACACCAGCCCAACAGACCCAGCCATGTGGAAGAGTTGCCAGGCTGATACCAGCCCAGCAGGCCCAGCCATGCAGAAGTCACCCGGCTGGCGCCAACCCAGCAGACCCAGCCGTGCGGAAGAATCGCCCGGCTGATACCAGCCTAGCAGAGGAGTCGCCAGACTCGTCGCGGACTCCCTCCGCGCAGCGGGGCTCGACACGGGCGATGCCGATCCCATGGTGGATTGAATCCCTGTGGCTCTCGGTGAGCGGCCCCGGCCGCCGCACCGCGGCAATCGGCGCCATCTACCGACCACCGAAAGGGCCAACGGCCCAATATCTGGAGAGCGTTCGGGACCAACTCCCGGCCGCCGTCCCCACGGAAAAACCCATATCGACACAGGGATACTACAAAATCAATGTCCTCAACCCGGGCGGCCTGGTGTACATGGGTTCCAGGCCTATCCTGAGCGACATAGTCTTGAACGGCTGATCAACAAGCCCACCCAACTCCGCCGGAGAGCAGCTCTAGACCTGCCACACCAGGCCGTCACCAACATGACCGCTCTCTGAGATTCAGCCGAGGTTCTCCCCGAGGCTGTGGCGAACCATCAACCGGTGCTGCTCTGCGCTCCCTTCCCCAGGGAGCGCCGACGGTTAGTCATCGCCACCGTGCGACCGTGGAAACGCGTCGACTGGAACGCGTTCAACCTGAGTACTGCTCGTCGACTGAGAGCCATTCCACGCCGCTAACACCGTCGATGACAAGGTGGACGCATGTATGGAAGTATGGAACGTCGCGGTCCGCGCTCATCACAGAACTCCAGTCACGCCGGCCCGTCTGTTCTTGGATGCATAGAGATACCGCAGTCTCCGCAGTCACGGAGAAGTGCGACTGCGCCCGCGAGGCCTGGGAGCGCTGCCGCACCACAGAGGCGTGCCACATGTGTCAGCGTTGCCGTAACAAAGTGAAGGGACTGGTCAATTGCGTGACGCTCGTACCTGTGCGGCGATCTGCTGACAGGGCGACGTGACTTGGAGTCGCGTTACACAGCTTGAACTGCAGAGAGCGAGAGGGCCCGGCACACTCGGTTACGGTATGGGCACGCGGGTGAACGCACTCCATGTCCACTTCAATGTCATTGGCTCCCATATCGCTCCGGAGGCGGTGTGGGTGCGACCCTGGCTGGGTCGTGCCCTCACCGTGAAAATGTGTTCCTCTGTGACCGGCGTTTATACTGTAGTCTGATCTTTGCATCACATCATGGACTTTTCCCTCCGCTTGGAACGTCGCGCGCGTGTTTAAGTCGGGCGGCGGATCTGACCTGGATAACTTTCGGCCATTGGTTTTCCCTCCGTACAATCGAAAAGTTCGTTGAAGCTCGACTGCTCGCCGCTCACGTCGTGCCTTCTTGAAAACCATGCACTGACACCGTCGCGATGTGCTTACCGTCCATGCCGCTCAACAGAGGACGCCCTGATCGACGCTGTGGAATGGCGGGCAAGAACTGTCGGCAACGGTCATGTGTCGATAACGACGATTGACCTTTGCAAAACCTTTGGCATCGTTGATCGCGGCGTTCTCCTGAGCAAACTGGAATGGTGCGGGATGCCCTCGGAATGGCTCCGGAACCGCTGAAGCGGTCGAAAGCGTGAGATTAGTGATGGTTCGATCACGGTGCCCCTATCCCACGGGGTGACTCAGGGATCCCTTGTCAGCTCAACGCTGTTCCTCATCTTCATCGACGACCTATCCAGCCTCCTGCCCCCTGGCCGACTGCGATCCTTCGCCGATAACACCCAACTCCCCGACTTCGTCACCCCCGATGTCGTCGACAGGTCTAAGCTGAAAGCCTGGGTGGTGGTCTATTCAGTGCCTTCAAAACCGGTTTCGGTCAAGCAGCCTTAAGATTAACTAAAAAAAAAGACAGACTTATTGCTGATGAACACCAAAACGTCTATTCAAAAGACTGACAATCTCCACATTTCCATATTCGACACGGATTTTCTTCTATAACCTTAAGTGATGGTATTTGGGCGTACTTCTCGACCACCACATCGCCTGAGAATCCCACATCTCACTTGTTCAGCGCTGTGATGCAATCCCTCTATTTCTACTCAACAGTCGATAGCACCTCTCCTCTGAGGTTTTGAAGCTCCTTGTCCAACTTTACGTCTTCCCCCGCATCCTCTTCTGTCTGTTCATGTTGCGTCCGTGGAGCGGCCGAGCGTCATCCAGGCAGGGTGTAAAAGGTGACACACTTCGCAGCCAGGCTAGTTAGCGGTGTCCGCTGCCGCGATCACATTTCGCCCGTTCTGGAAGCTCTCGACTAGCGTAGCGTGGCGGATCTTGTGCACCAACGGGACCGTCTGAATGTGAACAGAACATTGCACGTCCCCCCATTCGGCCAGTGCACCGCGTGTTCTATTCGTGACGTGCCCTGGGTCATGCCACCGTCAAACTCGGACTGTTTCGGGTGGCGTCGGCCCGTTACATCTGCCGCGCGTCTGAGTGACCGCCACCCAGCGACAGTTTCCGCACCACGTCGCCGCCTGGAATTGGCCATCCTGCTCCCCTCGCGCCGGACAGTTTTGACTTAAATTACTGACTCATTGGCTGAAACTGCTGTTACCTGTGACTATATGTGTATCCCTGTGTGTTGTGTTTCTCTTGTGTATGACAAGGCGCGAAACGTCCACGGCGTGGATGCGCCGCCAATAAAATGAAGAAGAAAAAATAAAACAACCTTGGACGTTGGCTGGCCAAAGATGTCAAACCAGTCACTGAAACTTGTGAAGTTTTCCCGGTATAAATATTGGGGTTTTCGCGTGGCATTTTGTACAACAGTTACGTTCACGGCATCTGTGTGACGTTTGACTTACTGCATGCGGTTGATTTCAGGGCTCAGAGTGGCGGGCGCGGGTGGTGGCTTTCGATGAACGGTCGGCATCTAATGAGTAAATAGTGGATTCACTATGTCAGCATTGAGCCTAAAAACAAAGGTGAGCGCTGGGTAACGGTTAATAATTGCCTCAAGGCAGGTCGATTCATTGTTTGCATGGTTTGAGCGAAACCCGATAAACTTGAACGACTTTTGAACTTCTGATCAGTTGAGTTTGGAAGTTTGCCAGTAATCAGGGGGCTGCAACCGAGCTCTCCTCGTGAGCTAAGAACTATTAGTTTCGTGCATGCGGGTGCTGGCCATTCAGTTTTGTTGGTCGGTGTTTGGGGACGGAGGAGAAGTGAGTGTGAATCACTGCTGATGCCGGGTTCGATTCCTCGCGATGCCCGCCGTTCCTGCCTTGATGAGAGGCAGCTGCATACGCTCCGCAGCTGAGTACGTCGTAAAGCTCTAATGACAACGAGTCCATTGCTGACTACTCACATCCACTGACCGTGCAGTATCGCTGTTGCAGGCTCTGGAATCCAACCCTACCTCACCGGACAGCACGACTCTTCCGTCCAAATTTGTGGAGGGAGACGAGGTGCTGTCTCATGCCAAGGACGGCAAGTTCTACTTCGGCAAAGTCGTTGAGGTAGGCGCTTGTTTTTTCTCGATAAATGTAGCATCACCTTATTGTTTTTGACCGCTCGACGTTTGTTGACGTCCACCGCCCGCCATTGTCGTCTCCCGACGCCCGCCGTCCAGCAGCCGGCTCCACACCGCCGTCGCCCCTCTGTGTGCGCGTGACGTACCACGTTCTCCACCGGCCGTGGCCGCCGGCTGCCGGCGCCGCTCGCCGCCTCACCGACGCGCCGCGCCCGCAGGCGGACGAGGCGCGCGCGCGCTGCCTGGTGCGGTACGACGACGGCACCCAGTCGTGGTCGCTGTACCGGAACGTGGCACGACTCTCGCCGCCCGACGGGCCGTGCTGCATCTGCGAGAGCGCCGCCACCGCGCCCGACAATGACCTAGTTCACTGCGTCCGCTGCCTGCTGCGCTTCCACCAGATCTGCGTGGAGGTGAGATCGCGTGGGCTCGGCGGCGACCCGTCCACCGAGACTTTTCCCTCCTCCCTTCCCTCCCTGACACCCTTCCCCTCCAAGGGGAGGGCGAGAGCTTTATGCGCAGTGGTGGGTTGAGGAAAGGCTTGTGTCACTGGGGTTGTGACGTTTTCGGTATTTTTCGTCACGGCTGTCTAATTCACTACTCATAGGAATGTTGTGTTGAAATGCAGTCGCCTTGTCGCTGGTGAAGGATCGCCTAGAGTGCTGAGGTCGATTCGGAAAACCCTATTTCGGCTGGCATTGTTTCAGCCGAAGTTGAAGCTGATGACGCCGGGCTGGGCGTGCGACTCCTGCCGCGGAACCCGCCTCAAACACCTCCCTAGTCAAACCATGAAACTGGTCACCAACGAGAACAAGAAAACACTGCCTTATAACGTGAGCGCGGGGGCGCGCCACCGACTTGCCTGGCGCCCGGTCTCCTGCCGGGCCGCGGCGTATTGCTGGGATGGTGGACCGCGGCCGACTTGCTGGGCGGACTGGGCGCCCGCCGGGCGAGGCGTGGGTGGCGTGAGGCCCTGAAACATGGGAAGGTGACGGGGTCTGTGTCATGCATCAAACCGAACCGGGACTGTTGGGACCGTGGAATTTGTATGACACGTTATCATTGCCGAATATGCCGCGGGTGAATTCTCTCATTATGATGCAGATTTGTTGTTCGCATGGCGCGTGTTGGAAAACCACTAGGCTCGCGCCTTATGCTGAGCAAATGTATGGCTCATGTGCAACTTCGGTAATTATAATTTTTGGGCTTCATGGTGCATTCAAAATCTGAGGCCATTAAGCTTCGGTATTTCGCGCGCTGATTGGCGTGGCGACAACGTAACCCTTGGCTGGAGTCGGGTTCCTACAAATTTAGCCTCTACAAATTTGGTTCAGGAGATGTCTCGCCGTCGGGAAAAAGATTTCGCGAGCGCCTTTGTCTGAGGGACTAGATTCCTAATGAGCTCTGAGTAGCGAATGCCTTGAACGATGATCTTTTGCGTTTCCTTCGTGTCGCCCCCTTCACACAATGCGAGTTCCATCGTTGACCACCGAAGATGTGCTGACATCGTGCTGTCGTCCAGAGCAGCAAGGGACTGAATGCACAACAACGTTTAACGCGTCGCTTTAGTCACCACGGCCACGCCCCGCGCTCGGCGTGACCCGATTGGGCCAGCCGGCGTCCGCCGTCTCCGCTCTGCGATGTGACTACCTGTGGTGGAGCGGTGACGAACCGCTCTGTTGACCCGGCCGCGCCGCCCGCAGCCTTCCACGCTGACCTGGATGTCGGACCACAAGGTCAACCGGGAGCAGACGTACTGCTACTGCGGCGGCCCGGGCGACTGGTTCAACAAGATGCTGCAGTGCTTCCAGTGCCGTCAGTGGTACCATGAAGAGTGCGTCGAGTGCCGGCAGTACCCGTTGCTCAACGGCGACAGGTGAGGTCGGCAGCCCGCCTCACCGCCACGAGCCCGCCGCAGCAGTCTCGCGGAGTTCGAAAGGCCGGGAGGCTACACTGCGATCTTTCAGCCGTGTGCGGGGGCACAAATTTGCTGGACTCAGTCCTTTAAGGTGCCTCATTACGCAAATGGTTAAAATGACCAGTTGTTACCTCAGAAAGGGTATAATTGTTTGGGATATCTTCCTAAACCGAACGCAACTGAAGATTTAGGTATCTTGTCTGACATTTGCTCGCCCGAATGCACATGTGACAATCTGTGTGCGGGCTCCGAATAGTAGAAAAGGAATTTTCGATTACACTCAACGGAATATTCCATTACTGAGGCCATACGAAACGCTCAGCTCTACTTCAAACATGTGCAGCTCACCTAAGTCACCTAGAGCAATGTAGTTCCTGAAATTGGCAGCAAATGGTTGGTATATTTGGTTTTAAGAATATTTCAGGTCTAGCACCACCAGCCGGGATGACACATACATATGATAAATATTCCGGTGTCCGATGAGTGGTATGTAACGGCGACCGCATACGTGAACGTGGTTGCAGTTTGACGGCATGTTTACGGAAGGCGCTGAATGCGCTTTCGTTTGTCTTCTCTCCTTTTTGCAAAAACGGATAACAAACATTTCAAGAGCAATAGAGTCTAGGGTTTTCCAAGACTCCGCAGTCATATTTGGTCGAGTCGTGTTTTCCCCTCGAAGCCGGAATGTTTCTGGTAAAGCGATTGTTTCACCCTCAAGAACTGTTCAAAGGGACACAGCGTGATTAAACAGCGTACGTTGCCAGCGACCATGCTGTCGTATTTGTCATTTTATCGAGGGCCATGGAAAGTATTGTTTTTGGAATAGAAGCTTTGGTTCCGCCGCGTCCTGCTGCGTATGACGTCACGCCCGAGCACTCGCTGACCGGCAGCGGTGATACCGGCATCGACCTCACTCACTGACCGGCACCGATCTGGCCGATGGCCGCCATTGCTCAATACATCCACGTTCTTTTTAATGCGTAGTCTGGTATTGAATATCGGGCAAGACAAGTTACAACGGACACAACAACTGGAACGTTTTAGACTGGTAGAGTAATGGTTGTGAATAGATATTGCTGCGTATAATATGGTCGGGTTATCCCATTGAAAGCGGCACGCAGGAGGAGTGCTACCCGTAAGTCATTGCGTTCGAACAATCGCAGAATGTTTTTTATGGAGGTCCTCGTTTCTTGTTGCATATTTGAGAAGCATTCCCTGTTAAATGTCAAACCACGCCTCTTTCTCGCACGCGCGGTGCCTGACGTCGATGTCTGTTGGGTGTGAACAGGTGTCGTGCATCGTTGCCATGGGTTGAGGTTGCCCTGCTTGCAAACGACAATAGCCCATCGGCGTTTCATTATGGCGTGTTGCGAAGCGATGCTGGTATTTTCTTGCGGCACGACATAGGTACATTCCTACAACTTGGAGAGATCCGCGCCACCTTCGCCTTAACTTCAGCAAACCTAGGTCTGCGTAACCTGGAATCATTCTAACCCTAGCACGCAAGACTGTGCAGGCTACAGCATAGCAAGGTTGCCCAGGCTGCTGCCTGTGCTGCGGGGGTGGCTTTCCTGTGCCCTTTGGCTTTGCGGAGAGGCTCCCCCTTGTGGATTTATTGAAAGCTGCATTGATTCATTTCCTGAGGATCTGGGTGTTTCGGAGCGAGTTATTTTCGGTTCGAAATTGTGCTCAACTTTTCCCACAAAACAGTTTATATAATTAAGCGTCTGTAGCGGCGTGATGTTACGCAGCCGTCAAACGCACGACGCAAACTGAAATCAAAAGGTGCAAGCTCAATGGCGGCATTGTGGCGAGGTCTTCAATTCCGCCGTTATTCAAGTGACTGGGCAGATATGCTGACTTTTTGGACTCCGAATGAAAGATGCAAAGCCGTCGGATTACGCTTAACACAAGAGCAGCCCGGACTTTACACTCGCCCGGGTGGTGGCTGAATACCACACGCGCGGGTGAGGTGTCAGTTTTGCTCCTCGGGATCTCACCGTGTATGGCTGCGCTCGACCTGTCGTTAGCACGTTTGTCAGCATTAAAGACGGCCTAGTATTCTCCCTGTGTCACGTCATGTGACCGCAGAGTCACGTGATCTGTGACGTGACGCGGTGGCTGGCGACGGCAGGATTTTTTGTCCTCCCATCAGCAGGGAGAGAAAGTGCTGCCATATTACAAGATCACTGACAAAGAAGCGTGAGTTTATTTGGGAGCTCCTACGCTCGCGAGTACGTTAGGTGGGATGGGGACACCTGTCCCTAATTTTGGAGGGAATGTGGCATAGGATAAATAGAAGTGAATTAAACCGCTAAGAGTAGCCATGAAGAGGTGAGTGATTGGGGTGGTGCGTGGTTGCGTTTCCCAGTGAATTCATAGCGATGGAGTGATCGTAAAATATGGAGAATAGGAAGAAAACACCACGCTTCTCGAGCGTAGGCTTTCTCGGTACAAGTTGGAGCTCAGTGAAAGGATGGGTGCATGCCAGTGCAAGTAGCAATGAAGGATCGATAGACCGTTTCCACACAAAAAGAGTGGGAAAGGAGGAAAAATGAGGGGAGAAGAAATTGACATGAGATTGGACTGGGAAGAGGCACTCAAATTACGCATAAGGTAGATGATTGTAATATCGGAGCAGTAGCCACTAAACACCACTTTATAGGTAGTGTGGCATGCTCGGTGGTAAGCCAGAGTGTGTGTGTGGTGTGGAGAAATTAAAAGGTAAAGGGGAAAAAGGAAGGTAAAATTAAAACAGTCCCGTCAGCCCACGCACCGAACGCTCCGTCAGCACGCGTGACGTCACGCGTTCCAGCTGACAATCGTGCTGGCGACAGATCGAACGGGGCCTAAGAGAGTTAGTGTCAACATTTGGACTTTCTATGCCACGATCCTCGGGTAAAATAAGGCCAAACAAGGTCCAATTCCACGTTGGTGTCCAAAATAGCCCTCATCACCTCATGCAACCAACGTGGAACGAAGCCATCTGTTGTGAGCAAAAGGTCACTGGTGTTGATTTTAGGTCAGTTTCTGTGTTTCAAGTTTGGAAAGTCATGGTGAGTAAACACCTAAGAGATCGTTTTGGTTTTTGAGTTTGAGTGTTTTTCAATGGTAACGCTTGGCGGTATGTCCTTAAATCAAAATGTAGATTTGGGTCATGTTTGGTGAGTGACCTACTCGGATATTAAAAAGTCCACAGAAGATGTCTGTTGCAGTTGCTATTATCAAGAAATTCGAAATGGGCATCAGAAACTGCCTTTTGCAGGGAGCATCGCAGTAAAAAAAAAAACAGATTGGTTTTGGCATCGGCCTAAACTTTATGGCTGTCCCAAAATCAATGGAGATTGTTGTAACCCTAAATGTAATTGTCCAATGTCTCAAGCAAGTATTTTAATAGATCCATGACTTTGTCTCACATTTCCGTTGTCGCTTCACGTCGAACGATTCCCTAAAAATGTCCTTCGCTGACCGAAAGCTTGTTTTGTCATACCAAAATATCCGCTTTAGTTAATTGCATACAATTATACAAAGTTTGTTGCGGCTACGCCGCGACTTTCGGTGCTCTAAAAAGAATCGGAGGTGTGCGGTCAAATTGCGCGTGTTAAAGCAGGCATAGGTAACCTTAATCGCATGAACTGGTTTGAAACGGCTGGCCGCTGCTGTGAGTACTTGGTGGGGCGGTTGCGATCGGTTGGTCGTCTCGAACTATCTCTACTGATGCGAAGACCGCCGCGTTGGAAGTTTGATGGTGCAGTAGTCGCCTCCAGTGAGCGACAAGGCGCTGCTGGTCTGCCGGCCTTTCGGTATAGTGTGGCGGAAGTGCCGCACAGGCAGCTGTGGTTTTCCCAGAGCCACCGGGGTCTCACCGCCCGCAGCTGCGGCACCAGTGTTGATGCTCTTGGAAATGTTGAAGGCACCTTTCTCGAGGCGTGCTTTTTAATAGTTGTGTTTTATGCGCTGGTACAGGCGTATCAGATGGGTTTCTCTCCTGTTTTGTTGACATCATTTGCATAATCCCGCGCCGTGAACGGAGCAAGAGGTGGTCGCCGCCGTCGCGAAGAATGGCCTTGTGGCATCTAAAAATGCAATTGACTGTTTCGGCATTAGTCCCCGAAACTTAAGATTAAATTATTTCTAAACGAACTAGCCAACAGTGATGGTTGTAACTCATGTAACAAATGGGAAAAAGCGAAAACTTGTTTGAAAGCAAACAGTCAGGTTTGAACAGTGTTGGAAAACTTGACGTTTCCTGGTATAATGCGTACCAGGAGATTTTGTGCTCCAGGATTGTGACTAGGTAAAATTAAATATTTTGTACTCCATCATGATGCAACAAGAACAGCTTTTGGAAAAACTCATTTTACCTCTTTGTGTCAGGACAAAATAAAACCTGAAGGTGCAACAGCGTGAGATTTGCTGCTTCCATCAGCAGCCATGTATTGATATCTGCAAGAGCACAAATCTTGTACCCACCAGACTAAGATGCCCAATAGCAAGCAGCGTGACTGCCACCTAGGTATATGATAAACCATGCATGGAAATTGGAAAAATAAAGGGTGTGAATGTTGAATGGAATCACCTTTGAACAATACCGGGAAAGGAGAAACGAGTACCAGAATCGCACCGGTCTGTAGATTAGCAAAGCTCTCACTTCCTATGCCCTACGCAGACCAACTCAGACTTGAACATGACTTAACCTACCATTGACGACGAACCGCATTAATTGCCAAGAATGCAACAAACATTCATAGAAAACCGCACGCCCAATCACCTACTGCAGACGGCCGCGTACCCACGCGCCACCACTGTCATGGCAATGCAAATAAGAGAATCACTCGCCATTTAAAACTTCAATCAACAATAACCACACTCGCGATTCAGCGTCGGAAACGTCTCAACTATTCAGCGGCTTGCGCCCGCCCCCCAGCTCAGGTTGGAGGTTGAACATAGCAAAAGTTTCCAATTGGTTTTAATGATTCGCCTCCTCGTGATTGATTTGTCAAGATCATGAATATTCTGCTCGTGCCCATGTCTTGAACATATTGGTGAACATTTGGAGGAAACCTGTACATAGATGGACAGTCACGATTATGAAGGACTTATCTTATAAGGACTCATCGAGAACCGCAATGGGATTGGATTTTTGGCCACTTCCTGGTATCCGGAGTACAAAAATGGTACGGCAGCTGTGGATTTCACTCAAGTTAAATTTGTCACTCAAATGTGTGAAATTAAAGCTGGTAATTCAAGTTTTACAAAAATGCCCTTCTAAGTCCAAAAACGTTGCTATAAATAGTCAAAAAACTGTTCGGAGACGGCCATCTCACTCCGGCAAAAACGCGAGGACACCAGAGTAACATGAACCGATAACTTTGACCCGGCAAATTAAGGCGAAGGGTTTATTAGGACAAAAACATCAATCAATTGCAACATAAATTATCATCTTTCGCAATGGTATCGGTTAAAGCGCATCAAAATCCATAAATACCTTGCATTATCCGCCGGAGTCGCGGAGTGACTCCGATCCCTTTTGGCTGACCTACACGGGTCTGTCAGGCATTGTGCTTGCGCTGGCTCGGTAAATCGGTTAAGAGTGCTGCCTGTCTCTATTGTTCGGGTGGGATGTGCAGGGCCTCGTGTGTTGACTGGGAGTGGGAAGATGGAGGGCATGAATGGTTTGCTGTCTTTAAAACCAGTTAGCCGGTGGAGCGTGAGTAGCGTGACTGTGGTGGAGTGTGAGTAGCATGACCGTGGTGGAGCATGAGTAGCGTGATCGTGGTGGAGCGTGAGTAGCGTGACTGTGGTGGAGCGTGAGTAGCGTGACCGTGGTGGAGCGTGAGTAGCGTGGCCGTGGTGGAGCGTGAGTAGCGTGATCGTGGTGAACCATAAGTACGTGGCCGTCGGTGGCATGTTCATTTTCATTTTTTGTGCACCATTCTTGTCTGGTTGTGCGTATCGTATCCGCCCTCCATTTTGGGGAGTTTATAAGCCCGATGCTTAATTACCCTCCGTTTTGGAGGGTGTATACACAAAGCCTTTCATAACTTGCAAACCGATGTGTATGTACCTGTGTTTCATAGCACAGGGTGTGAGACTGCGTTGTTTCAGTGTGCCATGTTTAATACTGATATTTCCTTTCATTTTAAGTACTTTTACATGAATTGCGGTATAAGAAAAGTTGCGCTCTTGTTGGGTGCCACCCATTGTACTATTATCTCCCAAAGATAACCTAAATAAAACTGTAATGACCCGCAGCACTTGGATAATTTTGTACTCTACTATAGAAAATTTGTACTCTGCTACCAGGAAAATTTCTGGAATTTCCAACACTGGGTTTGAAACTGGCCTTTTGGGTTCCTTGTAGAGTATATAGTCTTTATGCCACGTGGAACATGTCCGTAACGCCAGGGGCAAATCGGAAGACGAAAATGATAAGAAAGGCGGTTCCAATACTCGTGTTTTCGACTACGTTTAGTCTGCATCGCATTCGAGGGCGCTGTATGAATTCGGGGTGCTGTATGTGCCTTTGTAAGTTCGAACGAAACTGCTACTTTTCACGCTACAACAGATGCGAGTAGTGCCCCAAGCTACACTAATCAAAGGTGTCCGGTCGCCATGTTTGCCGATGTTACGCCGTTGCATGCTCGACGCACGACGCCAGCACGTACTAAGGAGACACTTACCTGGACACGCAATCACAATCCAGACCGTTCTAACATTCGTCGGAACAGGATCCTCGTGTCCAGAAGTCATTCTTTTAGAGGCGCATACGGGTTCCTTTCGGTCTGCGGCCGGCCAGTGTGACTCCGCTTCGGTCCAACCGGCCCTGGTCGGGAGCACTCCATAAGCCCTGAAGGTCACCATTGGACCGCGTGCACGCAGCAGTGCACCGGCCCTGAAGGTCACCATTGGACCGCGCACACGCAGCAGTGCACCGGCCCTGAAGGTCACCATTGGACCGCGCACACGCAGCAGTGCACCGGTCCTGAAGGTCACCACGGAACCGAGCACACGGAGCACTGCACAGGCCCTGAAGGCCACGGACCGTGCACACGGAGCACTGCACAGTCCCTTAAGGTCGCAATGCTGCCGCCCGCACAACTCGTGGAACAGCCGGCACACTCGAGGCCAGTCTTAACGACTTCAAACATTCTAGTTACGAAAATTCAAAGCATAACTGCCATGACATGCTAGCACGTTTGAAAAAAACGACGCGCTATTGTGAAAACGGGTGATGCTTGCATTATTTCGCCGTGCACCATGTGCGGTGTTAACAACGGAACGCTGACGGTGGCCCTGCGTCGTAGTCTGGTCTCCAGCCCCAATCTTTCGCTCTTTGTTGGTCGTGAGCAAGCCGTAAAAGTTTGAAAAGTTGCACGTACACGCTGCACGTGAACTGGAGCCGATGGTGCCTGCCCCGAATGCCCGTGGTGGTCCGAGCGGAGGCCATGGGCGATGAAAGCCCGAGCGTCACTCGTGACGACAGCGCTTGCGGCTGGCTCAGCGGCATTGCCAACCAGCTGATTAGATTGGCGGCGCTCGGCCCCGATCGCCCGTCCCTAGCGCCGGGGGCGGCATTGCTCGCACGCGATGATTGACCACCCTCCCTCCCCCTGTCTCGGTCAGGTACTACGTGTTCGTCTGCGCCGTCTGCAACGACGGCACCGAGCTCGTGAAGCGGTTGGACATCCGGTGGCAGGAGGTGGTGCATCTTGCACTGTTCAACCTCACCGTCACCTCGCAGAAGCGCTACCACGACCTGGAGGCGGCGCTGCTGCCCTGGATTGACGAGCACTGGGACGAGCTGCAGGCGCCCATCTACGTGAGTCACGCCGCCGACCGCCGGCAGCCGCACTGGGGGGCCGCTTGGAGTCTCCCTCAGCCTGCACTCCGTGATGCATTCCCTGCGTCACTTGCGCGCGCCGACGACGGCTGCGGACGGTGCGGGACGTCGGTCCTGTCGGATCCTCAGCCGCCGGCTTGCCTTTTTGGCTTCGGACCTTCGGGTCAGCTCGTGAGGAGCCGCCGGTTGGCCCCTGCTCGTGAGTCGTGAGAGGCCGCCGGCTGAACCCCGCTCGTGACGAGCCGCCGGCTCACCCCTGCTTCTTTCGCCGACAGCTGCAGACAGTGCCGCACAAGCTGCGCCGCAACGAGGTGCTGCGCGTGCTACAGGACACCAAGAACAAGTCTGCGTTCCAGTCGGGCCGCGAGCACAAGAAGCGGCCCGGTCTGTGGAGCCTGCGCGTGAAGGCGCCGCCGCCACCGCCGGCCGTCGACCTCCGGCTGGACGGGCCCGTCACCGAGCACACGCTGCGCGCCGTGCGCGTCCACTACAACAGCGGCCGGAAAAACAAACAGATTACGTGAGTGTGCGGCCGGTGGTGGTGCGTCGGACCAGCGGGGTCCGCCCGGCAGCCAGGGGTCCCCGGGTGGCGCACCGTGTGGACGGCGGCGGCCCGGCCGACCGCGCCGGCCGCGGCGACGAAACCAAAGCCCCACCCTGGGCGGCAGTGGGCGGCGCTGCTCTGAACAGTTGTAATGTGGCAACCTCAGAAAGGGATAGCCGCCGTATTAAGAGGGGTTGGTGGCTTCATCGGGGCTTAATCGGAATCTTATTCCGATGTACGGAGCTTCAACGTACTCACGACTGCTCCGTTGCCCTCGGCTGCTGTTGGTACAGCATTCTTGATTTTTACTCGGATGGTGTCGTTGACATCGATAATGGAATGCGACAAGTGTTCGCACCCTGTCGTACTTCACAGTGCAGTTGATCGTTATATGGCCATTTATTGTTTCGTGTTTATGGGATATGTTCACTCACTATATGGTCAGTGCCAGGTTATTAAAGGCAGTGCCCCACCTTTTGGGCACATTTCAAAGCAAGGTAGGACCGTTTAGTCTAATAATAGCACTGGGTGGTGTCATTGCAGCACCTTCAAGGTAAAATAGAGATGTAAATTCTGATTATTTTCAAGTCCGAAGTGCGCTGTCAACGCTTTGTAACAGCATTACACTTGGCCCGTTCTCGGTAGCCCCAGAGCGCATCCCGAGTCCGCGACAACTGCGGTTGTCGCGACCGGCGTGGTTATGGCAACCGCCGTCGTCATGACGACGGCAGAATTTGCTGAGGGCCATTCCATGCGTCCCGCTGTCGCTCCTGTATGGTTCTCGCCGAAGTGCGCCTCTGTGAGAGCCACACGGGAGCCGGTCGCCTCAGTGAGAACCATACAACCAACCAGCGTTCTCACCGAAGTGCGCCTCCGTGGGACTATTCGGCGTCCTTCTCTGCGGGGCACGTGTGTGCTGCACAAGCTGATAGCACGGCTACCCACCCACAGGCCTGTCAAGCTGAAGCGGAAGCACGTCGAAAATGGCGTGCGGCCAGAGCCGGGGGTGTTCCCGCCCTACGGCGCTGTGAAAAAGCGCGCCAGCACCGAGTGTCCCGGCTCCCGGTACCCGTTTATGTGAGTGGCCGACCATAATTCGGCGGGTCTTATCGGGTACAGCGCAGGGTTCTCGCTACAAACAGGGATGGGCCTGTCGGAGAGGCCTGTTCAAATTTGAGCTAGGTGGAACACTGAAAGCGTAAATGTGTGTTACCTTTGCTAATCATGGAGAGCCGTCCATAGTTTCATTGCTCTGTCTGTGTGCCTTCCTATTTGCGTCGTCGCTCGCCGTTCTCGCCGCGATGCGGGTCTTTCCCTGTTGCTTCGGTGATGTTTCTGGCCACGCCCACTTGGTGGCGTGGGGTTGTCTGGATATCCGTGCAAAATGGACCTTTTCGTGCTCGTGACTTCATGTGTTTTGCTATATGATCCTGTAGGGTCGTATAGGGTTCCAGACTGCATTGGTGAATTATGTTCACACGTTCCTGTCGCCAAGTGTGTGTCCGACCATTCCTCCCTGTAGTAACATGTGCCAGTGCATTGCCTCATGGTCACTGGCCCTGTGATCAACGTTTGTCTGCCCATTGTACCGACACGGTGACACGCGCATCTTCGTGCTCGGGTGGTAACCCGCACCGCCGCCCCGCCCCCGCAGGACGGGCCGTTGCCACCTCTCGGAGGATGCCGACTCGTCGCCGCCGCCGCCGCGCCTGCTGCGCACGCGGCCGCCGCCGCCGCCGCCGCCTCAGCCACGCTCCACGCCTGCCGCCAGCGAGCGCACCAGTCCCGGCTCGTCGGAGGCCGGCGCCTCCGAGTCGGCCGCCTCTGTCTGTCCGTCCAGCAAGCGCGGCCGCAAACCGCGACCCGCCGTCCGGGTACGCGCAGCTGGCGTCTGGTCCGGCCAGGTCGTGGCGTGACCCCGCGGGAAGCCGCGCCATTTGCTGTTGGGGTTGGGAGCGGGGGGGGGGGGGGAGGGGGCGGAGGAGGAGAGGCAGGCATATGGTAGGGCCATGAGTAGGTTCTAATCTTTGGTACCAGTATCTACTATGATTCATCTTCTGTTTGAAAGTGTGGTGGCGTGTGGTGCAACTTAGGCTCCTGCTATATGCGTGTTTATAGTATCGTTCCAACGTTGTTTACCTGCTTTAGTTTTATCACACGTCTATCTCTGCAAGGCTGTTGGGCTGGCGGTAGTGATGGTCTCGTCTCTCTCCCCCCCCCCCCCCCCCACGTCTCTTGTTGGTATGCAAAATGCGCATGCGCGTGTGCGCTACACGTCATGCGGGCGACGGTTCAGCGTCTTTTCTGCCCATATGTGTGTGCGTGAACGCGTGCGCACGCGAGCCCAGTGCGCGCGCCGACGGCCCGCCCTTGCCCGCAGACGGCGACGTCGGCGGCCGAGACGTCCAGCGACGAGGCGTCGCGCGGCACGCTGGACTCGCTCATCCCGCCGTCGTTCAACTTCGACGGCCTCAACAACCCGTTCTCGGGGCTGATCGGCACCGTGGTGACGCGCCAGCTCAGCGAGAAGGACATCCGCATCAGCAAGACGGGCGAGGTGCGCCGGCGCCGCAAGCGCAAGCTGCGCCGGCTGCCGAGCACCGGCGGCGCCGCGCCGGCCGCCGGCGGCTGGGCGGACGTGGGCGCGCTGTTCGGCGCCGGCCGCGGTGGCTGCACGCTGCTGGCGCGCCGCACCTCGGCCGCCGGCGCCGTCCAGTACCTGGTGCAGTGGGCCTCGTGATGCCGTCGGCCGCCGGCGCTCGCTGATCTCCGCCGACACATTCGGGCCGCCGGCCGCGGCCGCGGCCGCCGCATTCCGCCGGGGCGCCGACCCCGACCCCGGCCCCGGCCCGGGCCCGGCCGCGGGCCGCCCAACGTAACGCTTACCGCTGCTCCGTCAGTCCTACCGCCCGGTCAGGACGTCCAGACATCCACTGCCGATATCAGGGTATTTTTCTATTAGCTGGTAGTCTCAGCTGTACTGTACAAAAGAGAGGCGTGCACGCGCTGTGTTCGTGCTTGTTCTGGGGATTTTTGATGTTTGACACTTTTACGGAGACTCGTGCGTTGCGTGCGTGCGTGCGTTCGCGTGTGTGGTGCATTCCTTGATTCGCGGGTGGGCGCGTGTATGGTATTTAGGTCCATTTGTAGGAAGATGTGGGATGACGAGTGTGGGTGTCTCGAGATCGCCTCCCCGGAGGAATCGCCTGTATATTTGTAACTCATTGTTTTCTCGCCAAAGAAATAAATGTGTTGAGCGAATCATCGTTCGCTGTTAAGTTTTCTGTCGAGCGCGACGTGTCGTGCTGTCGTGCTGACTCCTTCGGATACGCTGTTATTTCGAACATAAAGTGCTAGAGCGCTGCAGAGCGCAACGCATCGCACCGCCTAACCTGCATTGAATACCGGAGGACCAGTATGAACAATAATCGCAGAAAGATCGTGTAGAATATAGGAAAACGGGAATGACTACCAGGGGCTCAGTGGGGGCATGCGGATCAGCGGATGGCGATGGCAGGGTTGAGTTCGAATCCGCTTATCACGCCGAAAACTGTTGGAACGCACATGATTCGGACTACACAAGCATCCGTGACACAAGCCGTTTCCACTGTCATTCAGCCGCGTAGATAGGAACTTGACAGGATCAATAGTAAGCGAAAACAGTGGGACGTCACCAGTTGGACTTAGATCAGCGAAAGTTCCCATTGACTGAAGCATGTGTACCACGGAAGTGCAGAACACGTTGAGAATCCCCTTTCCCCATGGTACACTCAAACTAAAACAAATCAGCAGGATTTGTTTTCACATCCCAGCGTAACCCGGGGCCATCGCAAACTTCTCCACCTGTTACGCCTCAGTAACGTTTCCTTAAAACCCGTTCCCGGAGGTACAAAGTTTCCGTTTCAGTTAGGAGTGCTCCAACCCCCCCCCCCCCCGAGTTTTGAAAAGTAAGTGTACTACATCCGCTTGCAAACACGTTCGTCGGTGTATTTGAGGAGAAGGGTCCGTAATTTTTTTCATCTCAGTTCCCTAACTTATTTTACGCGGACTTCGCTCCCGCCCCTCCCTCACTATGTGTGGCGTAATTTATATATGGGCCTTGCTGCGCTCTCAATGGTGTCCTCAAAGGTTTTAGCTCAAATCGAACAGCTCCCAGAATTGGGCTTTGCACGGCTAATTTCCATTTTGACGTAGTACTTCACAGGAGAATTGTATTTGTATGAATTCGCAACCAAATTTGCCGGTTCACCCTGTCATACTACGAATTGTCGCAAGATTTATATGAGGGCTGTATTAGCATAGTTGTATAGTCGTGTTAGTTGTATTTCTAGTTGGCCCAATCTCTCGCAGGCGCATAAGTGATAGTTGGCTGAGATGACTTCACTGAAGTGGCCAACGTTTCCTTACGATGAATTTCATCTAAGAATTTGGAAAAGGACGTGATAGATAAACGTTACCCAGGCGGCAATTGTAAAGCTCGCTGGCATGCACCACTCAGTCATCTTCTTTTAGTCTTTGTTTTAGGCGTTCTTTCTCAGGCGCATGCGCCAAAATAACGGCTGGGGGAAAACGGCTGAACTGTATGGGAAGTGCTAGATTTCAGATATGGCTTAAACCAAGGAGGTGTGCATTGTATATTCGGCTTCACTGTTATCTTGTTTTTGGTCCTACGGCTTAAATGCATTCTTGAAAGGGTTTAAACAGCGTCTTTCTCCCACAAAGATTTTCAAAATGGCGTCCTCCTTATGTTCGTCGACGAGCCTACCGCCACACATGAAGCAGTTCGTACTCTCCACGAAAAACGTTTAAAATGACGTCGCCTCATTTCATTGCTCTTTTCCAGCCAAGACGCTGAAAGAAAATACTTTATCGTGAATTCAGATATCGAGATTGGGAGATTGAGAGAGAGAAAACTCGTATTTTAGATCAAACAAGGTATATAAGAAGATGATCATATTTGGGCATCATTTGACGTTGACCGCTCATAGTTTATGCGGTTGAAATTGTTTGATTTTACACGTTTAAAGCTTTTTCCAGTAGCTTGGTAGTCTCTCATAGGGTTTACATGGGTAAGTCTTCAATATTTTTGGCATTTACTTCCATGACGTCATAAACGTTCCATGGCAGTATCAAAAACTGCATGTGTCCGAAATGGTTACATGTGCGCGGCGATTTCGCAATAATTCCACCATTTTTGGGCGGCGTGATGGGTTGGATTTGATTTTGAATTTAAATGCTGGAAAGCGGAATGTTGACTGTCGGATGATTACTGATAAGTATGCGCGAGTAACACGAAGGTGTGGAGCATTTAAACACTGATATGACATGGTGAGGGAGCAATGACATTCTGCGCGGGCATGGCTGGGCTTGATGTAGATCTCGTCAAAAATGCGTATGGACAGAATTATCCGTCTCGGAGGCTTCATAAAATGTTTCTTCAGCCAGAAAAGGAAATGAATATTGGGGGCTTGTTGCTGAGTTATGCATGTGTCATTGTCATGTGTGCTTTCTCACACGTTCCTCCTGTTCTTGCCACAGGTTTCTTTCCATGCAGGCACCTTTTCACATTATTTTAAATTTGAGTGGTGCTATTGACCGATATGAATAGGTGTAGCTGCATTAACTGTTATGCATGCAAATCTTGAGTAATTGAGCCCTTCTTTTAACCATGCGATTTTGTATGGTTGAGTATCACAGGCATTTATATTTATTTGTATTGCGGAATGTCACATGGATTGGAGATACCTAATCTTTTGAGGAAAGGCACTTGCTTCATTAAATTTAAGATTAATTATTGCTGGTGGTGGGTTTTGATGTAAACTGTTGGTGCTTTGTCAAATTCCAGAAGGGATGGCATGCCAGCATTTTGTGTTACAAGAACAGCTGAACAGAATATGTAAGAGCAGCAGTAATTATGCTTTTTGCACACACAGTTTCTCAGGTCTTAAAATGCTACTTTTTAAATGCTGCTAATTGATGCTGGCTGGGAGTGCCTGCAGCTGGTGGTAGGGCAGGCATTTTGCAATTAAGCTACTTGGATGGCTGGTTGTAAGTTTGTGTTGCTGTTTTGTTGCCTGCAGGGGGTTTACTGCCTGTTGCCCCTCCTCTGGATTGGACTCATCATCAGTAATATGTTGCATCTCCTCTTGCCTGGGCCTTATGGCCAAGTGGTGATTGCCTTTGGCTCCCTCATGGTTGGTCATTTGTATTGGCCCCCAAACACAAATATGTCTCTGTACTCACTGCCACTCCTTAACATGATGTGCAACAGCATGTGCCACATCCTCTTGAAAAATTTGTCTTGCCTGCTTTGCTGAGAAAGATAGCAAAAAGGTTGCAAAGTTGACAATGGTTCACCCTGATGGGAAAGAGATAAGCTTGCATCATCAGCCATGGCTACTACCCATATCAGCCACTGACAGTGATGAATTGTAGCTACTGACATAAATTATTCCCAGGAATTCACTGGGCCATCCTCTCTAAGTGGTTGACAGGCTACCAGCCTGTGTTGGTGACCATGCTTAAAATACTTATGAAATAAATGTAGCTTCAACTGACTTTTTATCCCCTAAATATAAGCAAAAAAGCTTGCTTATTGCCTTTTGAGAGCTATCCAAATGCACTTTCTTGGTGTTCTATAGTTGTAACCAGTGCCACACATCCATTGAAGGATATTTTTGTGATAGTATCAGATAGTTTGCGCTGATAGATACATAGCTGTATGATAATTTTAGAAAGGTAGCCTTGTATGGGTTTGACAAGATTTAGAAAGGTGGCCTTATATGGGCTAGACATTTCAAACAAGTGTTCATGACTGTCAGCTCATGCCAAGTGCAGATATACACTGATTGGTGTTAGAAGAACTATGACAACATATGATTGGTAAGCCATGATAAAAACATGACTGACAAGATTGATAAGAATGCATGGTGTGTGACATCATTGATCCAACATGGGGTCAAGATGGTGATACACACAATGCATGGTTTCAAGCTACAGGAAAATATTGTCATAACATTTTGTGGGGATACCTTGTTCAATATATGTTTCTAAACATATTTTTGTGGTGTAGTGTGGGTAGAAGTCTTTATCAGAAGGCTACTCATGTGCATCACTTCTTGCAGCAGTTCCTTTGGCACTGAACATAATCTTCCAACAGGGAGTCATATGGACACCATGGGCAGGATCATGAGAAGGGTGTGAACACATCTGCACCACCAGCATGAGCACGGAGGAGCCCGTCGGAGAGTGCAGTGATAAGGTGGCGACCCCGGAGCCCTCCGGCACATGGCATGGAAGGCGCGGTGGCCAGGAGTGGCGAGGAGGCATCCAGCAGTGTGCCATCGCTCTCCGGCGACACCGCTCCCTCAGAGCCGCGTGCGGCCGACGACAGCGGCGGCTCGGCCGCGCCACCCGCCGCTGGCCAGCCAGCGTCGGTGCCCGTCCCGGACGCGACCGGACTCGGTCCGGCCGGCGACCGGTCGCCGAGCGGCGAGGAGTCGGCGGCGCCGCCGCCGTGCGCCGACGCCGTCGCGCCCGCCTCTGGCGCCGACGAGGTCACTGTGCTGGAGGCGGTGGCCAGCGAGGGCGACGCGGCAGCGGCCGGCCCCCTCCGCCGCATCAAGGTCATCTCGGCGGCGTCGCTGAGCACGATGGACGGCGGAGCGACGCGCCGCTCGCGCCGCGCCGCCGCCGACCGCGCCTGCTCGAGCATCAAGGTGAGGTCCGGCCGCCCCCGGCGCACGATCAGCCAGGTCACGCTCAACAACGCTCTTAATTCACGTAGTCGGGGGCTCGATTATAGAACTTCTGGACGCTGTGCGTCTTGTGTAAAAACGAGTGGTGCTTTCAATGATGCTGCCCAATTTCGTGTTTGACAAGGTCTTTCCGATGGGATGCCCTACCAAAGCCAAATAATGACGTGCCATTAAAAAAGGCTTTCAAGCTGCGGCGATGCAGTTC